TCATCTCTCTGACTTCATCTGTCCTCTCATCTGTGCCCTCTCACCTCTGACCTCATCTGACCTCTCACCTCTGACCTCACCTGTTTTCCCACCTCTGACCTCACCTGTGCTCTCTGCACCTCTGACTTTACCTGTCCCCTCATCTGTCTCTTGTCACCAGCCGCAGACGACTCCCTTGCAGGACCCATGACATCATGTTGGGCCGTACCTGGATGACCTGGGAAAACCTCCCTGTTTCAGGGTCATTGCTTCCAATATCTTTGCCATGGGAGATGGCAAACACGTCTGTAGGTTCCTGGGGATGGAATGGGCCGGCTTAGGGCTGTTCTGCCTGCGACACTGTCCGTCCACTTTCTGATAGTGATGGTGGGGGTGACACCTGCTGGGCGCCCACCCCAGCTGAAAAGGGGCTTCTGGGAGATGGGATTGGCACTTCCCATCAGGCCTCTTGCTTGGCTCAGCCAGACCTACGCGCAGATCCTGTTGGCCATTGAGGCTGGCAGCCTGGAACAGCACGCCTGGCCTCCACGAGTCTTGGTTTCCTGGAGTCTGTAGCTCAGCGGGCTGTGCCGTGGAGGAGCACGGTGGCCTGCCAACCGGCTTGTCTTACCTCTTCCTGCCACCCTGCCCCACTGTCGCCGCATCCTGTGGCAGGTGGAGGTGAGGGGCCAGCGGGGCCCACGTTCAGCCCCTGCCCCCTGCTGTGCTCCTTGCTGCCCACCTCTGCTCCGGCTCCGGCTCCGGCTCCTTCCCTCCCGGGGACCCCGGACCAGATTCTTCTGCAGACATATTTTGCTTGCTTCCCAGGCACTTTTTTTCTTTTTAATTGAAATCTACATTTATTTGAAAGGCAGAGTGATGGGGCGCGGGGTGGGAGAGCTAGCGAGCGAGCGAGCTTTCATCCTCTGGTTCACTCAAGGCTGGACCAGGCTGACGCCAGGAGCCAGGACGCTATCCGGGTCTCCATGTTGGGGAGCCACCACCAGCTGCCTCCCAGGGTGCACATTTCAAAAAGCTGGAATCAGGACTGGAGCTGGGGCTCGCACCCAGGCACTCTGATACGGGATGCAGGCATCCTGCGTGCGACGCCCGCCCGGCTGCGTGGGATTTCAGAGCACGCAGATTAAGTAATTAATTAACACAGGATGAACAGCCTTGTTTCTTAGATGTCAGGGGCAGGTCCAGATTTCCGGTCTTTCTGGAGGAACTGGAAGCTCCAGCCACGCTGGGCCTGCATTCCTCCTTTAGAAGGTGGAGTGGACGCCCACCTGCCCCAGGCCCGCCCTGGCCCTCCCCTCTCGTTCGCTTGCCCAGTCCAGCTCCTGTGTTGGAGTTTGCGACCCCCCTGCCTCTCAGCGTCCACAGAGAAGCCAGGCTGAGGCTATGAGTGGCTCCCAGGGAGACCCTGCGTGGTCTCCTGGAAGCCAGGGTGCCGTGGGGTGACCTGGCCTCGCCTGGTCCACTGTCCAGCGCCGTCGCCATGGGCAGCTCGTTCACTTCTCTGAGCCTCCATGGCCACATGGGCGGAGGGCGGAGCTCTCAGCTCCACACCGTTGACCTTGGGACCGCCCTGCGTCCTGTAGGTGTGGAACAGCGTCCCTGGCCTCTGCCCACTCTGTGCCAGCGCTGCGCCCTCTCACGATGTGAGAGGGAGAACGCCCTGGCACTGCTGGGAGCCCCTGGGCGCCTGACTGCCCGGGTGAGACTCTGCTGAGAACCCAGCGAGCGGACTGCGCCGGAGGCCCTGCACGCCTGTCCCGTTCCCTCTGTCCCCGTGGTTTGGGGCTTGCTGCAGGTTCTTCCAGAAGGGGACCTGCACGTGTCTCTAGGCCAGGCTTGGGTCTGCGCCTGCTTTGGGCCGGGAGGAGAGGGTGAGTTGTGGCTTCCGGGAGCAGCTTTGAGTGTGGGAGCCCTGCAGGCGGCACGGCTTCGGGGTGCAGCCCTCAAGGTCCCCACGGGGCAGTGATTGTGCACTGCTCCCTCTGGTCCCCGTCCTGCCGTGGTGTTCGTGTGGGTGGCCTGTGAACCGGGCCCCTGGGCCGCGTGTCTGACCTTTGACTCCTTGTTACACCACAGGTGGCCCTGGTACAGTGGACAGAAAGCGTGGGCTTAACCCTGGTGGGCCGAGACCAGTCGTCCATGCAGCTGAGGACCCCTGGCGACCAGATCCTGAACTTCACCATCCTGCAGCTCTTCCCGTTCACCTACGAGAGCAAGCGCATGGGCATCATCGTGAGGGTGAGCGGTCCTCGTGGGGACGCAGGGACGCTGTGTAGCCCCACGGCCGGACAGCCTTCCTCGCCTCTTCTCAGCCCTCTCCCACGGCCAGACTAACACAGGGCCCTTATCCCCCCACCCCCACCCCCCAGCAAAAGGAATTCACGCGTCGGTTGGATGCTCCGCAGGTGGCCGGGCAGCTCGCGTGCACCCAGTTCTGGGGTGGCCGTTGTAGCAACGAAGGTCGGGCCGTTCCTGGCAACGCGATTCTGCGCTGTTGCTTCATTCATCGCTGTGTTATTTTACTGAGGTGAAAGTCATGTGATGTCTCATAGCTGTTTGAGGGACACAGGGCAGTTCCATGGGACCTAGCACGTTCGCAGTGCTGGGCACCTATCGTGTCTGCTGTCACCCCCGAGAAACCCTGCGCCCCTGAGCAGTCACTGCCCGCCCTGCCCCCGCCCAGCACCCCCGTCTGCTTCCTGTCTCTGCATTTGCCTGCTCTGATAAATGTCTCATACATGGAAGCGCTTGAGACCTTTCGTTTCTGGCTTCTTTGTCTTAGCCTGTGTTTTCTTTCCCTTTGAAAACTACATTTTTAATTTTAATTTAAAAAAATGTACTTGAAAAGTAGGTGAAGGGGTTGGGGAGAGAGGGAGGGAGGGAGAGGGATCTCCCGTCTACTGGTTCACTCCCTAAATGCCCACAACAGCCAGGGCCGAGCCAGGCTAAAGCCAGGAGCCGGGAACTCACTCTGGGTTTCCCACGTGGGTGGCAGAAGCAGCGACCTGAGCCGTCACCCGCTCAGTGCACCCGCTGGTCACAGTGGCAGGCGCTCAGTGGAAAGTGGGCTGGGTCTGAGCAGTCGCCCCTGGGCTCTGCGCACCCGAGCAGCAGCTTGCCTGCCTCACCAGGCACCCATTATTTATCTGGGAGCCAGCGCCTCCATCGAGGTCTCGCACAGAGGTGACAAGAACCCAGTTACCTGGGCCATCACCCGTGCCTCCCAGAGTCTGCCGAGCAGGAGCAGGAGCTGGAGCCGGAGGCAGGACTCGAACCCAGGAATCACTTCTTGGCCAAATGCCTACCCTGATGTGATGTTTCCAAGGCTATCCTCGTCATGCCATGTGCCGCGCTGCATTCCTGTTCATGGCTGGCTGGTGCGTTGGTGGACTTGTGTGCCACGGTTTGCTGGTTTGTTCGTGCACTGGGTCTCTCACATTTGAGTTGTTTCCACCTGTTGGCTCCTGTGAGCAGTGCTGCGAGCTCTGTGGTGTGCATGTGGGCATGGAATTGGTGAGCGCTGCTCGGTCGGTCACCCTGCTCCTGGACCAGTTCGGACCGCTGTCTGCTCGGCTGCACCGCTTCCCGCTCTCCCTGTTGGCACCGTTTCGCCACATCCTCACCAGGACTTGTTCTGGACTGGTTGGAGCCTGGGTGCCCCCGTGGTTAGGGAGTAGCGTCTCACTGTGGTTGGCTTTGCATTTCCTTAATGACCAGTGATGCTGAGCTCGGGGACGGCTGTGTAGCTTCCTTGGAGAAACGTCTGTTCAGAGTCCTTTGCCCATTTTTTAACTGGATTGCCTTTTTTTGTTCACTTGTAAGGGTTCTGTCTAGGAATGTAGACCCTTACCAGATATATGACTTACAAATATTTTCTCTCTTTTTGTAGGATGTCTTTTCCTTTTTTAGGTAATGTCCTTCAATGTAAAGAAGTTTCTAATTTTTTTTTGTTTGTTTAAAGATTTGTTTGCTTATTTGAAAGAGTTACACAGAGAGAGAGGGAGAGACTGGTTCACTCCCCAAATGGCCACAACCACCAGAGCTGGGCCAATCCAAAGCCAGGAGCTAGGAGCCTCTTCTGGGTCTCCCACATTGGTGCAGGGGCCCAAGCACTTAAGCCTTCTTCTATTGCTTTCCTGGGAGCATTAGCAGGGAGCTGGATCAGAAGTAGAGCAGATGAGTCTCCAGCCAGCACCCGTCTGGCAGTGCAGGTGGACGCTTAACCCGCCGTGCCACAACACTGGCCCCTCTAATCACGTATTCTTAACGGTTGTCTCTAACAATCCCAAAATTACCTGTGCATGCTCACTCAGCGTCGTCATTTTGCCGTAGTTATTTTGGATTTCATTTGATATTTTTTGAGCCTTTTATTGACAGACAACAAGACAACACACAAGGAAAAGTCCAAACACCATCAGTGGACGTCCTATTTCTTTATATTAGTGCAGCTCCCAAAAATGTTATTTAAGAGGAACAACACATGGCACTTTCTTTTTCTTTTTTTTTTTAAAGATTTATTTTATTTATTTGAAAGAGTTAGAGAGGTAGAGACAGAAAGAGAGGTCCTCCATCTGCTGGTTCACTCCCCAGATGGCTGCAATGGCCAGAGCTGCACTGATCCAAAGCCAGGAGCTCTTCCGGGTCTCCCACGTGGGTGCAGGGGCCCAAGGACTTGGGCCATCTTCTGCTGCTTTCCCAGGCCACAGCAGAGAGCTGGATCAGAAGAGGAACAGCCAGGACTAGAACCGGCGCCCCTATGGGATGCCGGCGCTGCAGGCCAGGGCTTTAACCCACTATGCCACAGCGCTGGCCCCAACGTGCGTCATTTTCTAGCCCACTGAGCTTCTCTTGGGCGTCACCTTGAAGCTGTTGCGCTTGGGGCTGCTCTGTTTTTCTCCCACTGCCTGCTTCTGATGGGCAGGTGGCTACCCTGTCTTTGGCATGGATAACTCATTTGTTCTTGTTTTTATTTATTTGAAAAGCAGAGTTACAGATAGGCAGAGGCAGAGCAAAAGAGAGAGACAGAGAGACAGAGAGAGAGGTCTTTCATTCTGCAGGTTCACTCCCCAAATGACCACAATGGCCAGAGGTTCACCAATCTGAAGGCGGGAGCCAGAAGCTTCTTCCATGTCTCCCACGTGGGTAGGGGCCCAGGCACTTGGGCCATCTTTTACTGCTTTCCCAGGCCATAGCAGAGAGCTGGATCGAAAGAGGAGCAGCCGGGACAGGAACCAGCGCCCATATGGGATGCTGGTGTTGCAGGCGGTGGCTTTAACCCGCTGCACCATAGCATCGGCCCCCTCATTTGGCCTTTACCGTAGCCCAGTGAGGTGGCACTGTCATTACTGACATTTGACGGAGGAGAAAGTGCTGAGAAGCTCCTGCGGTGGACTGGGAAGTGGCTCAGGCTGTGAGGCTCTTGGTCCTCGCTTCTCACCCCAGGACCCGTTCACGGGGATGTGCTTCCCGGGTTTCCCCGGGTTCAGTGGCTGTGGGCAGTGCATGCACAAGATGGGCTGGGAATCCAGGTGCGGGCTCAGGGTCCGCCCCAGGCTGGGAGCCAGGGGTCTGTGCACCTGCTGTCATCTGAGGTTCTACTGAGGCAGGGTCCGTGTCCAGACAGCAGTGTTGTTGGCAGGATCCGGTTCCTTGTGAATCGCTGGGCTGGGGCCTGGCGTCCTCCCTCAGCTCACCGCCACGTGGGCCTCTCGGCAGGTCACCTGGCGTCATCCGAGTGAGCAGGCAGAGCGTGAGCATTGGGAAAGTCACTGTCCCTTGTAGCCCAGTCTCAGAAGTGACAGACTGTCACTTCAGCAGGTTCTGTTTCCAGCAGCAGGTCACTTGGGCCAGAGCCATCCCAGAGAGCTGGGTGACTCAAGGACACAAACACCAGGGGGTGGGACCGCCAGGCTCTGGCTTAGAGGCTGCTTCTCCGGGGGAGGGCGGGCGGCCCCACGTGCTGCCGTGGGCATGACCCGGAGATGCCGGGCGTGAACCTACTCTGAGATGGCCCAGGTCAAGTGGCCTGTCTGTCTCGACTGCTGCCTCTCGGGCTGCGGCGCCCCGGCCCTCATCCACCCGAGCTGCATGGTGAGACCACAGCTGCTTCCAGCAGCTTCAGTCCTCGGGGCGGCTGTTGCCTGGGAAATTGGAGTCGTTATCTCCTCCGGAATCAAGTTTGTTCCAGCCTTTATTTTCCCAGTTCTAGGAACGTGGGCTCCGCTGAGGTCATTGGAGAGCTGGCTCATGGCCGGTGGTTCCAGGACCAGCCCTTGCAGGATAAGTGGGCGGTGGAAGGATGCTCCCTCCCAGCCACGCATCCCTGTGTCCTCCCTTCACGAGAACCGGGCTCTGGGCCTGGCAGTAGGGGCCGCTGTTGGACGGAAACATCTGTTTTTCCTTTAATATAGTGTGTCCCCCTTCCCAGGTTATTTAAAAAAAAAAAATCCACAATTAGGGCATTTAGACAAATGAAAGTGCAAAGGTAAACTGCAGGAGTGATCCGGGCCCATGTGTTCACTCTGGGAGAAACCCTGGTCAGAGGCTACTTAGTTGCAGGCAAGCTAGGAAACCTTAGCTCAGGGTTAGAGCTCCTCTGGCTTGATTTAGCAACTGTTGCGGTTTACCGCCTCCTGTCTGTCTCAGCGACCTTTGCTGAACACCTGTGCGCTCCTGCGCAGTAGCAGGGAGTCCCTCCTTGCACCAGCTCCTTGCGTTGATCCCTGCCTCTTGAGAAATCAGCTGAGGCTAGGGAAGCCAGCCCCTGGGACCCTGTGCTTGTGTTGCTCCAGGATGCCCGTGCCAGCTGTTTGGCTTTTGTCGCATGCAAGATGCCCCCACTGCCTCCCATCACCCTGTCTTGGAATGATGGAGTTGGGTCGTTGGTGTAGATCGTTCCGTGTCGCTTGGAGAAAAGTGGCCTTTGCACAGGTGCCACACGCAGGCCACCTGGGAACCATGCGCTGCCCCCACCCCCCAGTCCAGCACCAGCGGCCGATCATTATGCGTTTACCGTGCAACTGTGCCGTGAGATGGGAGCGAAGTAAACTCGTGATGAACTTGGTGGGAGGAAGTGACTCAGGGCAGGAGATAGCGGATGCCGTATTTACATTGGATGAGAAGTCAGAGCTCGTCCCGGCCCCCTCCTTGGCGAAGGAAGCCGGGCCGGGGCGGGGTGGGGGCGTTCCTTCCTACAGCCACCTCGTTGCGCACTGGAGAGAGGAAAGGGGAAAGGCCTCGGTGGCTTTCATGCTCAGACCCCACAGCTGTCTTTGGCCCGAGTCCCAGGCAAGCAGAGGGCGAGAGCGCCTGGGAGAGCGCACGACAGGGCGGGGTGGGGGGGCGCTCTGTGAGTCAGCAGCGCGTGCTGTCGGGGGAGATGGTCAGTGATTAGCGGCCGTTCGGAAGTCACTGTAGAAGAGGAGACCAGACCACTCCTCTGAGCCGGGAGTTTCTGTAGGAGTTTGTCCTGGGCTTCCCAGGGTAGCCGGGATTAGGCCCGAGGTGCTGCCGACCGTGCTGCGTTTCCACGTCCATCTGCTGCCGGCCACCTCCCGTGTCTGCAGTCATCAAGGGAGGAGTGGGGCGGAAGCGGCAGCAGATGGCGCCCTCGGATGGCTTGTCCCGGAACATTTGGCATTGGGGGCCACGCCCCTGGCACAGTTGGCGTTGGGGGCCACGCCCCTGGCACGGTTGGCGTTGGGGGCCAGATGAATCCCTGGATGTGGGCTGCACCCTGGGCCCTGTGGACAGTTTCACGGCGTCCCTGGCCTCTGCCTAGTGGATGTCGACTCAGTACCCCACGCTGTGACAATCGAGTGTCCCCAGACCATGCCAGATGTCCCGGGGGGACCACATCCCCGCCCCGCCCCTGCCTTGAGAACACTGGGCTACGACTCGCTCTTGGTGTCCAGTAGGACTGAGGGCAGAGAACTTGGCGCTCATTCCAGCAGAGTCGCAGCCCTGCAGGGCCCTTGGTGGTGTCTGGCCTCGTGCCACACGCTCCACGCGAGTTATCTCGTCTCGGCCACAACGACCTAAGTGGTCCGAGTTGTTGGCCTGCCCACTCCATCAGAGGAAACAGGCTTGGAGGAGTAACTTGCCCAAGCGCATGCAGCTGGCGACTGCTGGGCCAGGCAGCCGTTGGCTGTGCAGGGAGTTAGCACCACGGGGTAGCACTGGTGCACTGTGGGGACTGGAAGTCCGGGTGACGTGGCCGTGGGTAAGGCCTCAGGAGGCACGGGGTCTGGAATGACCTTTCGGTGATTCTCACGAAGCAGACATGGGGGGAGGCGTTTTTGTCGGGTGCCGGCGGGTGCTGTGGCATCCAGCACGCAGACACCCGGAAGGCTGCTCAGTGGCCGCACGGGGCAGCGTCCAGCCCGTGTTGTTGGGCCGGGGTCGGCGTCCACCCCAGTCGTGGGGCACCACGGGCCGCTGGCACGGCTGGTGCGGCTCCTGCAGCGCGGGAGTCCGTTCCTGCTGGAATAAGAATCCCTTTAAAAAACAAACCCGCTCCTTTTGATCCTGCTCTTTTGTCATTTAATAATTTTCCGCAGGTTCTGTGGCCTTTGCCCAGCCCGAGGCCCCCTCTGGCTTTTGATCTCTGGCCAAGTCGGAGCCCGCCACGCCTGCCGTGTGCTCTGCGTGTGCTGGGGGGGGGGATGGGGGAGGGGCTTCCTTCCGCTCGCTCACTGCTCCCGCCTCTCTCCCCAGGACGAGTCCACGGGAGAGATCACGTTTTACATGAAGGGGGCCGACGTGGTCATGGCGGGCATCGTGCAGTACAACGACTGGCTGGACGAAGAGGTGAGTGCGGCGGCGCGGGCACAGCCCCCGGCCCCGCGGCTCCATGTGCGTGCGTGCATCCGTCCGTGCATCTGTCCGTCAGTGCATCTGTCCGTCCGTGCATCCGTCCGTCCGTCTGTCCATCCATCTGTCCGTCCGTTTGTCTGTCCGTCCGTCCATCCATCCATCCGTCCATCCGCAGAGGCTGTCGCACGCCCGGGAGAGGACCCTGGGCCGGCAGCACACGTTTTACGTTCCGTGACCACAGAGTTCCAGTTTGGGGAACCCACAGGGGCCGGGCGGGAGACACCCAGGCAGGAGGAGGCCTGGGTGTGTGCGCCCCACACAGCTGCGCCGTGCGCGGCTCGGGCATCACGGCTGCTTGCTGGGAACACGGGGAAGCGGCCGCCTCTCTGCCACCCCTAACAGGAGCGTGGGTTTGCGGGGCGCCCGGCTTCCCCGGAGCCAGCAGCTGAGTTCAGTTCGGAGGCGCCTGCTGCACCCGGTGGGGAAAGCCCCTGGGCTGCTACTCTGCGTTAGGGGAAGCGCTTGGCCGCCTGGCATCCCTGTGCCCTTGGACGCCGCGCAGCCACCTCCGTGGCCAGGCTCTCCTGGAGCCGGGGGAGGGCGTGTGGGGCGGAGCCTCGGCACATCCCCGCCGGCCCGTCTGTTTTTCAGTGCGGCAACATGGCCCGGGAAGGGCTGCGGGTGCTGGTGGTGGCCAAGAAGTGTCTAGCGGAGGAGCAGTACCAGGACTTCGAGGTGAGTTGTCCTGCGGCCTGCCTGCCCAGCTCCACGGGCACCCGCCAGCTCTGCCCTGGCCACCTCAGGTCCTTTCTGAAGGCCCGGTCTCCCTGCTGTGGGGGGCTGCTGCGCCTGCTGTCTTCTGCCTGGAATGCTCTGCCCCTAACAGAGCTCCGTGATCCACTCCCTCACCTCCTTTGGGTCTCAGCACAAATGCCAGTGCCACCTCCTCCAAGCAGCTTTCCTGGATCACCTAAGGCTGCCCCATCTGTCATCTCATTTAATCTTCTTTATTGCCCTTACCACTCTTGCTTATTCTTTTTAAAGATTTATTTATTTGAAAGAGTTAGAGGCAGGGGTAGAGAGAGAGAGAGGTCTTCCATCTGTTGGTTCACTCCCCAGATGGCTACAACAGCCAGAGCTGAGCTGATCCGGAGCCAGGAGCTTCCTCCGGGTCTCCCACATGGGTGCAGGGGCCCAAGCACTTGGGCCATCCTCTACTGCTTTCCCAGGCCACAGCAGAGAGCTGGATTGGAAGTGGAGCAGCCGGGACTAGAACCAGTGCCCATATGGGATGCCGGCGCAGCAGGCGGTGGCTTTACCCTCTACACCACAGTGCTGGGGCCCCCTTAGGTTTTTTAACACTCATCTTAGGCATCTCCTCTCTAGAATGAAATCCTTTTTTAAAAGTTTTTTTTATTAATTTGAAAGCCAGAATTACAGAGGAGAGAGAGGCGGAGACAGAGACAGAGAGCGAACTTCCATCTGTTGGTTCACTCCCCAGCTAGTGTCAATAACCAGAAGTGGGCTAGGCTGAAGCCAGAAACCTGGATCTCCCTTCTGGTCTCCTACGCAGGCGCAGGGGCCCGAGCACTAGGGCCATCTTCTGCTGCTTTCCCAGTGCATCGGCAGGGAGCTGGACTGGAAGTGAGCTGCCGGGGCTTGAACTGGCGCTCACATGAGATGGTGGCGTCACAGTCAGTGGCTTCACCCTCTGTGCCTCCCTGCAAGCCCTAAAGGATGGGGTCCTTCCAAGGGCAGGGCCTGCAGCCCTCTGGTTTGCATTTCCACCCCAGGCTGAGGGTCGCTCATGACACACGGCACATGTCCTGGACAGTGTGGAGGAGATCCCCCTCCGAGCCCTGATTTCTTTTTCTAATTAAAGATTTATTTTATTTATTTGAAAGAGTTACAGAGAGAGAGGAATAGAGAGAGAGAGAGAGAGAGAGAGAGCGAGCGAGCGAGCTTCCATCGCTGGTTCACTCCCCAAATGGCTGCAATGGCCAGAGCTGTGCTGATCCGAAGCCAGGAGCCGGGCTGTGATGAGGGGAACTTGCTGACCGAGGGTGTTGGTGCCGAAGTGGGCGGCGTGCTGGGGGGAATCCGCTGCTGATTTGAGATCTTGGGGCGTGCTGGTCCCTGAGACCCCGCGCGGCCGGCGCTGTTGCCCTTCCATGGAGAGAGGGGGAGGTTGAGTGAGCCACAGGCAGGTCCGTCCAGCCCCAGGGCCGGCGTGGATGAGCTGGCGAGGAGGCAAGAGTGTGCTGCAGCCTCTGGGTCACCCCGCCCCTCTGAGCGGTGGCGCCTCGCTGTGCGCCCAGGCCCGCTACGTCCAGGCCAAGCTGAGTGTGCACGACCGCTCGCTCAAAGTGGCCACCGTGATCGAGAGCCTGGAGATGGAGATGGAGCTGCTCTGCCTGACCGGCGTGGAGGACCAGCTGCAGGCCGACGTGCGGCCCACCCTGGAGACCCTGAGGAATGCCGGCATCAAGGTAGGGGCTGGCCCGGGGCGAGCTCCGG